CACGGACTCACGCAAACGCACTTGCCACCGAGGTCATGCAACACCGCATGGCACAGCGACATCACCTTTCGAAAGCTTTAGCTGTTAGTCTACTGAAGAATCACTATTCTAATGAAGGTTTTTGTAGGGGAAAAGGAAGCCCCCACCCTTCGATCTGGAGCTTTTTTGCATTTTTGATACGAGTTTAATAAAGGATTTTATATAAAATTTTACTGATTTACTTTTTGGTTTTGAAGCTCTTCCCAGGTGACCTATTTTGGACCCCCCGATTTCAGGGACCCCCTATTAGAAAAAATGCGGCCGAGGTTTCCTTATTAGGGGGGGGGGCCTGTTTTTAAATAGGTGGACCGGATTAATAGAAGCAGCCATTACTGTGAGTCTTTCTTAAACTGTCCTAGTCGGCCCATATCCACCATGACTCATGTGGCAAGGGCAAGCCGCGCCTCCTCATGAGTGGCCTCTGCTGTCTCCGATTTCCACTCATTGCAGTCCTGGAATTCAAAAGAATTAGCTGAGAAAATAAGAAAGGACTTTTAAGGGCCGCTCTGCCCCCCTACCTAATAGCGATGGCCTCCAACCTAGAAGTGATGGTCTCCAACCTAGAAGCTCCAGGAGGAGTGTATACTGCGTTGGGCGAGATGCATTGGACATGACTGGTGCAGCGCTCCTTTGGTACATCCCGCACCACAATGTTTTCATCAGGTTCATCCTGCGGCAAGAAACTTCAGGTACAGAGTGTGCCGAGTAAAGGACTCTCAGGAACCCTGCGGAAAAAGAGAATCCAAGATGGCATAAAGGGGTACATGAACTACAATTCTAGTTAGTCCTCCACGCCCCCTTCAGCAACTGCCTCTCCCCGATTTTCCGCATCAAAGGCATCGAGTACTGCCTGACATGCTTGTGATGATGTGGACTACTGGCAACGTTACAGCCAGGATCCCAGCTACAACAACCAATGTAGTGGGGCATCGTCCAAACAAAGAGTTGGACACGCTGCTACAAGCATGTGAATCAATAATGTCAAACAACTTCGTTGTGCAAATGTTCTTGAACCCAGGTTTGTGGTGGCGAGCCGATGGCCACTTGCAACACTTGCAACTGTCGCCTGCCGAAGTCCATTGAGGCGTTCCATTTCTCTATTGTAAGCGTCCTCCGTGGTGCACCTCAGCTTCCCTAGCCTTGAAAAGAACAGAATGAAAGAAAAGCAACTGCCGATGCTCGTGTTGTTGCTGTCAAGTCGCCACACAATCTTTTCCCCGTACGCCTGGCTGAAGGAACATGCATCTATGACCTGGTCCTCCATGATCCTCCGAGCTGTGACTTTTCGGTTGGTAAGGTTATGCAATGTTAGGGCCCCGGGCTCTAGATGGCTCGAAGATCAAGAGGATGTCTTCTAAAGGATACTTCTCGAAGTCCTGGAATTGATGCTTGGGACAATCAATATCAGCATGTTGAACAGCTCGACCTGGAAATCTGTGCTTATTAATCTGTGCTTATTAGTGCAACGTTCTTTCTGCAGCTGCAGCTTCCTTCTGCTGTGGATGGTAGTCTGAAGCAAAACCCATTTTCTTGACCTCAAACAAAAGCAATTGCGGAATTGCCCCACAGTTGGAGAACAAAGCCGGAGCAAGTCTGGTTCTCAAAACAAGAGTGACTCTGGTGTATTGCTTAGCATGACTCGTCCAAGTGCAACGCTTGATCTAAAACCTCCGACTTCTTGAGGTGCGTGTAGGGTTTCAGCCTCAAGTTCACATCGCTCGACTCCAAGACTCCTCACTTTTTCGTGGCATGCTTCATTCAAATTGTTTGGCTCCCAGTCTTCTGTGAGGCTCTGGGCTCTGGACTTCATACCTGAAAAAGGAACATCATCAGACTCCTCCACTTCATCAACCAGGTCAATGGCAAGGTAGTTCTTCGCCTCAACTGATGTCCCGTTCAGCTCCTCCAAGAGTAACCCCTGCACATCATGCCCAACTTCGCGCTCTAGTTGATTCACCCGCCAACATGGAGAGCGTCACTCATCGTACTGGAACTGTACATCCAGCGAGGACAAATCAACAATAAGCAAGCCGTGGCAAAGCCTCGCATCAAACCAATCATGATTGCCAAAGCAAGCATGCAATCTTGACCATGGAGGAGGATGCCTATCCGTGGTGGTTTTGTGGCAAACATGAGAGGACTTTGGCAATGGCCATACTGAGCCAGGAAGTTCGGCAGCCTATGTACAGTTCGGCGACCACTGTCTTGGTGTCGCCAAGGGCTGCTTTGGCCAGTTCTGCGGATTGACACCACTTTGGACCAGATTGCTAGAAATTTGATAGGACTCTCTTTAGCTCTTAGTACAAACAACTTATAGTTTCCCTTGAAAAGAGCAACATTTCTTGAGCACACTCATCCTGAGCACAGGTCTTGATTCAAGACCTTGGTGGGAGTTTGATCGGATCGAGCCATTCTTTTCAGCACCAAAAAGGCCTTTATTTGCCTGGGTGAGTCTTTTTAGGCTCAGATGCTTGCGTCGTGTTGGCACCTGTAGCTTTAATTGATTTGGCTTGTTATTGAAACCTTCCACATACTGGGTTGCAAGAACCAATCCTCAGGATCACGCTTTCTGCTTTGGAAAAGTCCTGGACTTCAGCTCCTAGGTGCTCGTCACTTGATCTCGTAGGGTCGAAATGAGCTCATCAGAGATTCCACCCTGCGGGCGGCACCCGAGCATGAGACAAGCAAAATGCAAAAGAAACTGGACCCTGTCAATGCCAGAGGGGCAAGAGAGACCTGAGGGTTCCAAACGGCTCTTCTAGCTGAGCTCCCATGCCTGACGTTCGTGCAGAAACTCAGCAGTTTGTGCTGCGAAGCCATCTGGCGATGCCTCGAACATGTCTGTGCTCTAAGTGGTCCAGCACTGGAACACGTAAACATGTCTGAATGCTCGAATCCAAGCCATCTTTGCGAAGTGACTCCACACATTACAAATTTGGCTACACATGCAACACCTTGTGTGTTGCATAAGGGCAACTCCAGGTTGCGGTGCCTGCCTCTGCGAGAGCAGCCTTCAGGGGTCTTTTAAATCATTTGATTGTCTATTATTGTTCCTAATAGCTTCTTTGTTACTACTAGTAAGGCACCTGTTACTACTAGCGATGCACTTGTTCCTAATAGCTTCATTATTGTGGATGCACAAAAAGCGAGCCTTCGTCAGGATTCGGAATGCGATGCTGCCAACATATCGCGGATTTTTTTTACCGCTCAGGTGGCGCAAACATGGTCGGTGAGCTCAAAACCGTGGAGTAGTACTCATTGTAATCCAAGCGTGTTGCTAAGTTCTTCAAGAAGTGCTCATATCGGGCTTTGGATTCTTGCTGAATCTGTCGCAAGAAAGCTTGCAGTTGGCTCTCAAAGATAGTCTTCCACTTTGCCATCATCTTGGAATACTGCCTTTGGGAAAGAAGAGCAAGATATTTCTGTGTACTGTGCCTCACCCTGGTCAACCTTCTTTCTGCCGGAGTCTTGCCATCATCAGGCTCTTCAACTGGCTCACCGCCAATATGAGAGAATTTGTGCAGGTTCTGGGCAAATGTCAAACAGGTCTGAAGCACTTTGGACAAATGTTTGTACAGATTATCATGTTCTGTGAGGAGGAGCTCCCTCAGGCAGCTTTCCAGGAATTGCTCATGGCGATGCAGAACATCATCAATGGTCTCTGCTCCGCTGAGGGAAGCCAAGAATTCATGCGACTGTGGCTCCAGCACCTCCACAGTGGCATAGTAGATATAATCTCGACAGAAATGCAACATCCGCTGTCGAAGCGAATAGTATGGACTGAAGCTGGAATCCAATCCCAATTCCTTCGTGTACTGGTGATCAACCCATACTTCCACAAGCTTGCGCTCAACATAGCGACAGTACAGCAAGTGTCGGAAAATCACTTGGTACTTCAGAAGGATCGTCTTGGAAAAGAGGATCGATAATGGCCAGCTTGTTCGGTATTTTAAGGTCAAACTGCGTACCGCGGGCACAGCGGTCCCTTCGCCACCAAAGAGAGACGGAGTTGAAACAGCCACAGATACATCCTCCTTTTCTTCATCCTGGGAGCCCTTCATGCGATGACAGGCATCCTCAACACGAAAGGAATGCAAACCACAGGAGATGTCTTCTCGAAAGGGGTCAGCTGCCATAGAGGATGCACGCACTGCAAGATCCAAAAGACCATCCAGCCTGGTTAAAGGAACCTCCTCAGCAGGGCGCTCTAGTTCCGCAGTGTCTAGGAAGTGGCCAAACCAATCAGCTCGGCTAAGGAAGAAAAAGCTTCGCAAAGACTTTAAGCGTCCAGGCAGGTCGAGCCCCTCTGGTTGCGGTTTCATGAAAAGGTTCAAAAGTGCCGAGGCTGAACGACGATATGCTAAATCGATGGCCTCAGCATAGTCTCGCCTCCTTCGGGAATAATGAAATGGCACTCGTCCGCCTATTGGCTCTGGCAGTGTTGCAGATGTTGCAGATGAAGCTGAGAAAAAGACATGAAGGTACTTTCCAGCATGAAGAATGCGTTCACTGCTGGAAGCAAGGAACTGAGGTACTGCCCTGTCATCCAACGTGAAATGCTTCTGCCAGAAATCTGCGGCTGGACCAGTGCGCTTGGTCTGCTCATCGCGTGCGCGAAAGTTCTCAGACACACAAAACTCACCATATGGATCCTCTAGCCGGCCTTCGTAGACCCAGAGTGACATCATGTCAAAATACGGTCGTGACGCCTTCTGCAAGAGAAACTCACACAAAGATTGCGCTGTTGTGAGACCAGTTTTCATCATGACCTCTTCAATACCATTGAGAACTGCACCACCCTTCAAGCCCAGGACATGGGCGGTAATGCGATGCAGCAGCGCGAAGGTGTCCATCGAAGGTTGCGAACGATACCACAGTTCTGCCAAAGTCAGTTCTGCATTCTGCAAAGACTTTTCTAAACCACTCACCTTCGTAGCAAACTCCCTCAACAGTTCTTTCAGTGCAGAGCACAAGGCGTGATTCACTGTACCGTATTCGTGCTTGCTGTGCTGCTCCACAAAGGTCTCAACGAAAGCATGGTGGTCGCACAGGGGCATCATCTGCTGAAGAAACTGTGCGGTGGAGATATCTGCTCCAGCTGGGATGCTAATCTCAAAGAGTCCGGATGTTTTCTGGATGTAGGTGCCCTCCACTCCCTGCAAGCAATAGAGGAGATCATCCAAAAGCATGCGCTCCTGCTCTTCAAACGTCTTTTGCCCCAAGTTGCCCAGGAGTTGGGGAGGCGGGGCTCGTTGTTCTGCAAGCGCTGCCACGTGCGCATCGAAAGGAATCCCAGCTTTCACAATCCGAAAGCGAAGCTCTGGTACACGGCCATCCCGACCCTTGCACATCAGTCGTCGGCCAGAAGCACGCGCTGGTGACACTCCCTGAAGGCGGGAACCTAAAGCAAGACAATCGCTATATTTTCCTCGGATCAGCAAAGGCATCTTTGATTGCAACGGGATCCCCACGTCACCCTCAGCATGAAGCAATGTCCAGCAACAAGAATCTGAGAGCTCTTTTCGCTCAACTACAGGTTCCATGGTGCCATCAACACTTGGCTCCAAAGCCAAATAGGCATATCGCCCTTTGGCACGCCTATCCCCTAAGTCCCGAGCAAAGCAAACTTGATCTCCCACGTGAACCACGCCTCGGTGCTTGTGGCTATGAAACTGCAAGAGAAGCCATTCCGAGGGACATTCAGTGGCAGGATCTGCTGCATCCTGTCGTAGTGGATGGAATCCAGAGACTTCCACCGAGAAGTCACCCTCCCAGATAGCTGCAATATAGCGTTGCTCAGCACATGATCGGATGCCAATGCGAGAACCATAGTGCAGCAGGGCTGGTTGTGAGCCTTGCACTGTATCTGGCGCTGTGGCCATCTTGCAATGCCATCGCAAAACGCTACACACGTGGCAGCTTCTGTGGTTGCATTTATTCGATCTTGACCATGTCACTCTTTTTGCTTCTTGGAACTCAATCGATACAATGTGTCTTTGAGCATTTATTTCTAGCTGTTGGGATTTGTATCTAACATCAAGCTGATCTTTTGAGCCTGCGCAAGAACAATTCGCGGCCATGAGGACACTGTAGGCGCTCCAGAAATCATGGAAGAACGTTTCCTGAATCTTTTGGCCTTTTGGGCCTTAGGACAAGCACAACAAGCACAGTTTTGAGGGTTTTCTGCAGCTCCCCGACCTTGAACTTTTTCATCAGCAACTCAGAATCTTCCAGCTCCTGCATGAAACAAACACCATGGACCATTAGAACCGAAACATGCCCCAATGCCCCAACCATTATGCGAGGATTCCGAGGATAGACTTTCAAGAGGCCTGGCTTGCAGTCTACAGTAATCTTGTAGGCAAGGCGAAGTCAATGAACACAATAAACATCCCAAGTTGGTTCTGTCTGATAATGTCGATGGCTCGATCTCCAAAGAATGACAGCGTGTATGTACATTCAGGATTCGTTGGCTCCTCCTCAGTTCCTGGCGCATGAGATCTTCTTTGCTTGGGATCTGTGTCGTGAGTCATGATTCAACGTCATCCAAGGCGCTGGGAATCTCGAAGTAAAGGTCCAACATTGCCAAGAACCCGCCTAGGAAACACTGCCGAACACTATGCTCTTCTCAGTGGCTCCAGATGCTGCAAAGCGTCTGAACAATGCACGTGGACCCCAAAGAAAGCAAAGATCCTGCGGAACGAGACAAGGACATCTGTCCAAGCTGCATCCTTAGACCTTCCAAGGATCCGAAAGTCTCATGATGGTGCTATTGAAATGCTCATGCTCCACAAAAACGAGGGAACAACATGCTATCTGGTTTGGGGACACATTGTTGAACGCATGCGTTCTGCAAGTTTTGACGTAAGTAGAAAAAGAAGATCCCACGGTCCCACAGCCCAGCAATAAATGGCAACCTCAGCCGTTGCCACAGCGGCTTGTGGATCCCAGCGCTTTCAAAAGCAAAAGCCCCAAAATGCCGAAAACGATCAAGTGATACCGATTCTTGGAAATGTTGAGAAGTATATGGTCGACAAACCATGGAGTTTTAGCAGAGCTGCGATGTTGCGTTGGAGCCAAGGGTTAAGAAGTAGTCCACAGTGAACCATATCACCTGCCATGACTGTCTTACTTGATCGACGGACGGGAAACATGGACTCCAATTGCGTTGTGAATGGGAGACATGGTATGCAAAATGCTGCAAGTACATCTTCTAGTTCATATCATATCATACAAAGAACCATCGACAATTGACTGACTACCCCACTTAACTTTGCTTCAACATGTTCAACCTGAATCCCGGCGGTCTCGAAAGCCATAGCATGGCGAGGTAGAAAGCTCCTTGGGGCTGCTACCAAGCAAGTGCAACCATGAGCTGCTCTAGCATGAGAGAAATCTTGCAAGCACAAGCGCTTCTCTGACGTCTCATTTGCTATCAATGCCAAGGCTCTGTATGAGAATGTCCTTGAAAGGCCCAGGCAGACCAGGCCGCACAAAAAGGGTGATAGCTTTGAAAAGCACTAGATCTGATTCAGTGCGACATTAGTGGCTTGTTCCTATCCTCAAATACTTCGGTCTGAGGATCTGCTACCCCGGTGTCTCTGAAGAGGCCATGCAAGTCTGGGTGATGACATCCCGGTAGCAAATCCTGCAAATGGACTTCTGCTTTGGACGAAAACCAGCACTAGCCTTGGCTGCTGGGCACTTGTATGTTGGGCCACCCTGCCTTCATGATGGCATCCATCATATGAACAGCCTTCTCCTCCTCGAAGCCAAGCTTCAAAAACACCGCAGCCAGTTGGTTCCTGGGTCAAACCCTACACCCATTTCAACAGTCTACGGTAGTCATTTTGCATTACACGTGTCTTGTGAAGCAACTTGCACCGCATTTTTTGTGAGCCCTTGGCGTTCCAAGGGACATCCCCTGTGCGTAGCCCACCTCTGGCCTCGCAGCACCCACAGCGTGCAGCACACGCCGAAGTGCAGCATGGCGGCCGGCCACCAAGCTGTGCCTTGCTTGATGTCAAAAAAGTTTTGGAAAGGCCATAGGGCCATAGGGAGTCTACATTGTCCCACCAAAGCTCTTAGTTGTTTATGCTACAATTGATAGGTCGACATTCGATCTGAAACATGTGTGGATATTTGTGTGGAGAATTCGTATGCGCTTCAGACTAGCACCTTGTGCGCGGTACATCTGCATTGATCTGCTCGCTCACCTGCACAGCGTTGTGATGTGATTTCGTGGTGTCATCACGATTCACAGAAGCTATGCTGCACCACCAAGAATAAATTTCAAACATCACGCAAACACCTTGGGTGGCAACGGCACGAGCAGCAACTCCTCTAAGGCTCTTCCAGAAATGGACCCCAGGAGGTGAGGCCAAAGACGATGGCGATATTTCAGTGGCATTCCGCCATACCCGGCAGCTGTGAAATTTCTTCGAACTTGACGTCTGGAAAGCAAGTGGAACAAATCTTCCGACAGAAAGAATCGAACAGAAAGGACTGCAACTGTAAACCATTCACCTGGCCTAAGAGGAGTTTCTCGACTGCCACCTTGGCCAGGCAGGTGCCATCCAAGAGGTGGGTCTCCTCCATGGCAAGTTGCCATGCTTCATGAGCTTCGGCCACTTCCTCTGGGGCCTCGCAACACAAATCTTCTTTTTAAGCCCGCTCCGCCCCCTGCTTACTTAATTAAGTAGGCGCCTACCTAATAGCGATGGCCTCCACCTGTCTGCAGTTGATTGAGGGGACTACACAATCCTCTTAATCTCTTAATCCTCTTGGATGGTTGCAAGACTAGCAACTCCCAGGTAGAATGTTAGGTTCACTGGTTTCGCTGCAGGCTACGATTTGACTACATGTTTCTGCAGTCCCGTAGTTTAATATCAACAATCAAATGCTTTGCGAACCGTTCGACAAATAGATTCGCTAATACCTACATGTCGTTCTCTATTATGTATCTTCTCGCCAACCAAGGCCGATACTTTGCTGGTAGATCCGACTGCAAGCCCTTCATAGGAATTCAACGTACTGCGCAAAAGCCCAGCCTCATCGCTCCTCTTAGGGCTACCACTGCTTTTGGGGCTGTCATTCTCCGCATCCTGTTGACATCTTCATGAATTTGAATGAGCAAGTGTTGGCAAATTGTTTGCTTGTGCTGACGGCATTTTTACCAAGACTGCGCAGGGCGCCTCATCGTCCACTCGTCGTTGCATGATGAGCCCAACATCCTGCCAAAGCAAAGGATTGCAAAGGGATACTGTTAAAGAAAAACACCCCAGTGGTTCCGAGCGGTTCAAAAGCCAAGAAAAGTTTGTTTCGACTCGAGCACACTTGAGGGCATGGCATTCTGGCGCGAGTAAGTCAGGGTGTGCCAGGACCGTAGTCGGGATTCCCGGGACATGCTGTCGAGATCACACGGGAGACAATGCAGAATCAAAAGCAGCGCAAACGGGTGCAACAAAAATATAGTTTCGACCGATTGGCAGAGGCTTGCTCCAAACCAAGTCACACATCTCATGACACATCCGTACTGGGCGCGGATGATTTAGGCTTTAGCATGTCAAGCAACATAGGTGTCGTGGTATTTTATTTTGCATAGTTGAGGCCTATGTCATGGTGTCCTGTGTACTCCAGAAATGCTCCAACTGGTCTAATGAGAAAGGACTTGAGGAAGGTTGTGAAACATGATAAAACAAGCACTAGTCCGCATAGGCTCGGCTAGGCTCTAAGTCTATTTCTATGATTGTTCTATCCAAAGGCTCATGACCTATGTCTTGTGCTTTTTTTGCCTGTTCATCAGCTTTTGCATTATGACTTAGGACTTTGAAGGTATTTCGGCAAACTCCTTTGTCCTTAGCGGCAAGTATAAATGCCTGTGGTGTACCGGAAATCTGGGTGCAAGCAATGTTCTGGACTTTGGCAAAAAGTTAACGGCCGTGAACTGTCATTGGCACGCTAGCAAGTCATCTTGCACAGTCTAAGCCTGAAATCTCCTGCCTCTGACGTTGTGAGCCGCTGCACCAAGTCTCGTGCATGATTGAGTTGCGGCGCCAATGAGTCCAATGTCAATGCACAAAAATCGCCTGACACTGAGACTGCAAGATATCATCAAGGCCAACCATTGTTCAAGCACCCTCAACTTCTGAAAGCTCTTCAAGTTAGAGATTGCATGATGGCAAAACTTCTTCTCTTCTTTGCCTACAAGTGCGCCAAGGGACGTATCCCAGCAAGCCATAGCAGCGCACCCAGCTGGTCAGTGGATTTGACTCTTGCAACGGGTTCCTCGCATTCTGGGCAGCCCTGACAGGGCCAACCGTTCGGCCAGCAATGCCAAGGGCAAAGCATGGAAGCATGGCAAAGCAACATTTGTTGGGGCCCAACACCATCTCCAGCCTCCTGGACACAATGTGCATGGAAACCTGGCAACATCTGGCAGCCACTGACAAAGCATCTCTTGGCCGCTTGGCTTCTTTCTGACTACACTTTCTTACTCAAACTTTAATAAGGACTGCAAAGTCAGAAATTAAAGGTCCAAGGCTGGGATCCCAAACATTATTCCCCTCGCCCAACGCCTTGTTTGTTGACTGTTTGGACTGTTTGGCAATATTTGAAATGAGGAACAATGAAAGCGGGAGCAGCGGCGCAGCTCCCTAGCCCCAAAGCCCAAGGGTTCATCGCAAAGTGGGCAGCGCAAAGCACCAGACATTTGTTGCCTCAGGCCTTCCTCAACTCGGTGCGCACGCAATGAGGCGCTGGAATGAACGCGACGACAATAGTTCCTTGAATCCACCCGTTGTATACCTGTTGCAATGGCCTCCAAGCTAATAGCGATGGCCTCCAACCTACTAGCAATGGAGTCTGCTGTCTGCTCATAACAACCACCAGCAAATCCCAGGGTCCAAGTATTCCATGGATCTCTCGATCTCGATGAGCTTCTCCTTGACCAACTTCCTTAGCGAAAGGCAAGCAGCAAGGTGATTGGCAATCTCTTCTTGAAGAGGATACAACAATTTGGCAAATGAATGGACTTTTGGTCATTGGTTAAAGTTTATGCGGGTGTCTTAATGTTCATGTGTGTAATGTGTCACTTAACATCTGTCGGCAAAATGATTGGCTTCCTGCAGCATCAACAAAAGTGAATTAAATAACTGTTTCAACTACTACTTTCACCTCCAACCTCTGAACACAAAAATGCCATGCAAGAGAACGGACAAATGTTAACAGTTAACAACGTAGTTTGAACCAAAAAGAGCACACAGCTGAGCAAGAAGAAACTGCATTTGATGAATTTCCCCTTTCAGTTCATTTCTTCTCCTTTGCTGCCTGTCTACAGTGATTAAGTGATTAACAGAACTTAAATTGAGCTGTCGCAGCAGCTTCATATGGCAAAGCACCGGAATACCCAGAGTACGTGGAAACCCTCTCATTTCGGCCAAAGCTGTGGTTCTTGACTATGTCCCAACATCGAGTCGATTCTGTTGCTTTGAAGGAGTAGCCACGTTTCCACTGTCCCGCAAGACCCGAGAGTCTGCATGGGTTTTGTTGTTGACCAGCCATGCGCAGCTACACCCACAGCCAGGCCGGCACCCAGGCCACCGAGCAAACGCCCTGCCAAGGCCAGGCTTTCGGCCCCAGCCTTGGCAGTTCCGACACAACTTGCCCTTTGCATTCTTGCAATCTTCCACACACACACACACGAGGCGCATCTTCCCTGCCTGGCTCAGAGCAATATACTTTGCTGACCGCAACAAAACCAAATTCCTGAGCCAGGGAAAGCATGAAATTCAAAGCTTGTCAAGCAGAGGCAGAGTGATCACATAATTAAGGAAAACGACATCGTGCTCAGAAACTACAAACTATCCTGGCAAGAGACCCCAAACAGTGTGTATGAGAGTGTGAGAGTGCGTGTGAGTGTGAGTG